TTAGGACATCCACTGAAGGTGAGCCTTTTTTTTTTTGTCACAGAAACATAATAACAAATCATGGTTCACTAAAGCTGAGCCTTTATATTTACAAAAAATTTATAAGGTTCACCAGAGCATATTACACATGATTTTAGGTTGATTTAAAGCATGCCTAAAAAAAAGTCCCCTGTTGGTCTTTCAGTCCCCTGTTTGTGGGTGTGTAACGATGATTAAGCTCCCTGTTGGATAGGTAGGCTAGTGCTCACACACACACAGATGTTGACACACACATCTGTTCCAGCTGTGTGCGCCGTGGGCGGGGCCTTGTCCTCCTCCTCCAGATGTTCCGTCCTCCTGATGTTTCCTAGCATGCTCGGCTCCCGCGGTCGAGCATGCCTGATGCTGCTCATCCTGTCTTTGCTCTGGAGAGGTGAACAAACATACACACACACACACACACACACACACACACTACTGCTGGAATATTTTTTACAATAGTTTTTTCACAGTGTGGAACAGAGGTCATGCATTAACCACGGATAACAGATGTGTTGCTGTGATTGTGTTGTAGGACCGGTTTCTAACATCCAGCGTAACGCAGAGACGGCCGCTCTGTCTCTAAGCTGTAACCTCGACCTGCAGGTTCATCACAGCAAGCTACTGTGGAGAGACGCCATCAGACCATTTATACTCATCACACAGGAGCTCATGGTGAGACGGATGGAGAGCCTGCAGCTAACAGCTCTGTGTTATTAGGCTACGTTCAGACAGCAAGGCTTAGTGCTGAGTTGACCTTTCCTAAGCCCCGCCCCTTTTTGCTTTTTGTTCCAATAGCAATGGAACAAGCCTAGGTCAACTCACTCCTTTCCTGTACTTAGATATGCTATGTGCTAGGCTTATGTATTTTGAAAAGACGACCACATTTTGAAGAGACATATATATAGTCACATCTTAAGTTAGCATTGCTAATGTTAGCAAGACACCACCCAACAGGCTAGTTAACTTTTTAAGTAAGCTAAATAAGCTAGCTAGTAATTTCTGAACAACAAGATACCGAGATCAAAAACTGAACTTGCTAGGGGGTGTTTGGGGTCGTCAGGCCATCGAAGTGAAGTTCTTTTTAAGCAGTTATTTGAGGTCCGGACCTCAAATAACTGTATTTTTGACTGCAAGTCAAAAATCAGAAGTAGTGGTGAGTACTTCCACGGGAACCCTGCTTGGGACTGCAGTCGGGGTCAGAGGTCATTTGTCCGTCTGTTGTTTTTGGTTCAGAATGATGAAGCAGAATTTCAGTCGGAGTCTCTGAGCATCAGCAAGAACTTTCAGAACATCAGAGATGAGGTCGTCCTACAATACGGATACAACCGATTCAAACCTAAACACACCAGTAACAGCACACAGGAGCAGTTCACCACCAAGACCATGATGCAGTGCGACAGTAAGTGAGATGATATCTTAAACATTAACTAACATAAAACTGACGTAACATTTAATGAGTGTGTGTGTTATACAGGTGTGGTGGATGACGGCGTGCAGCGATGTGCTAATTGGTTTGGCCTCAGGTGGGCGGAGTGTATGAAGGCCATCCCTGTCCCCGTTATCAACCACATCCTCTGTGTCTCCATGAAGTTCCACTTCCTGTGTGATGTCATGAGAGGTGAAAGTTCACACTGGCCTGGGTCATAATGTTGTGCTACAGTTATAGGTTAGCCTAGCAACAAGTAAAAACCAAGTTTCTTCCAACCTAATACTTGTTTCCTTTGTGGTCTGATAAACAGTAAATCTGTCAAATTCAGTGGCCCATATCCCTTAAGTTATAAGTTATAAAATTGTGTTTTTGTACAGTAAGGCCTGTAGACCACCTGCTTGTTTTTTCTAAAGTGATCATGTTAGACATTTTAGACCCTCAATACCTTAATGCCTTAAATGATTCATCTCTAATCAGTGATTAGGATTTGCCCAGTGTATCATGGCCTTGACTTCTTCTTCATCTTGTTGTCCTCCTCTTCCTCTGTCAGTGATGACTCCGTGGTGCAGAGAACAGATCCCTGTAGAGGGAAACTTCGGTCAGCTGTTTGATCAGCTCAACCTTTCAGTCTCTCAGCTTTCAGGAGAGTTCAGAACAGAGCTCATCTTGAAGGTCTCCACCTTTCTTTTAACACCACCCTCAGGACAAATTCTCCGTTAAATGTCCAGTTAAATTAATCTTTGCATCCTGGCCTCCTGCAGGAGCAGCAGCAGCAGTCGGTGTTGGGTGGAACTCCGTTGGATCAGGAGTTCACTGAGGCTGTTAGAGGATCCTTCCAGAAACTGACAACGACTATGAAGCAGCTGCTGAACGTCATGCAGCTGCTGCTGTCCTTCACCTTCATCACAATCTTCACACAGTAAGATCTTTGACATCAGTTCTCTACTGCTCTTTCTGCTGAGTCACAGACAAACATCGCCTCATCTTTATCCTCCTCTTCCTCCTCAGGGCATTCGGTTACCTCAGACAGTACAGGCATGATGTCCGATTCGACAATATCTATATCACTACCTACTTCAGACAGATCGACGCCCGCAGGAGAAAAATGGTAACAACATTATCATCTTCATCATCTCTGCTACAGTTTGATTTCACTTTTTTAATTTTAAGGCCACTTTGGTCTTTAATTAATACAAATTTTTTGGGGCATCATGGCCAAAACTACCCAAAGTACATAGTATATTAAAAAAAAAAAAACATCAGAAAACAATAGTAAAACAGGGAACATTTCACCGACTACTTTACACTAGGGCTGCCCCCGACTAAGGGTTTCCCTAGTTGACTAGTAAGAGCACATTTCTTATATTATTGCAATGATTATTGAAAGAGTCGTTCAACTTTAGGACATTTTTTGAACATCCAATTTCAGTGAGGCACGGCATAAAACAGCAACAAAGCTGAGCATGAACCATTTGTCCTCTTGTGTTGTCTGGTGTGTTTAGGGGAAGCACTGTCTGCTGCCTCTGAAACAATCAGAGAAGAAGAAGTTCATCAACCCCTGGAGTCTGAAAATCCACCCCGAAGAGCTCAAACAAGTGGTGGGTTCAACTGTAACACTACTAATAATGTCCATTAGAGAGTGTTCAGGTTCAAACTGACAGATATGTTTTAAACTTCCAAATGACATAAAGATTTCAGAACCTGAGTAGTAGACAATAGTTTAACTCTTCTCAATGATTGTAACATTTGTTGTGTGTGTGTGTGTGTGTGTGTGTGTGTGTGTGTGTGTGTATGATAGACTTCAG